CCCCCCTTCACTTAAAGGGGCCAAGGGAGCCACTAAGAGCAATAATGGTGTGTGTGTGGGGGGGACCTCAGCAGGCCTGTCAGGAAACCTCCTAAGTGAGCTGCTGAGAGCCGCAATGGCAAACTGCTGAGAATGGAGATGATGGGGGGAGGGTGAAAGAAGCTGCACCAGGCCTTGCAGTGGCAGAGATGGGGCGTGTATGACCAGGATGGGGGACAGAAAGAGGAAAAGAAATAGTCATGGCGGCAGAAACAGAGTGCTGGCTGTGTGGTGGCAGAAAGACAGTGATAGAGTAGGGACAGAAAGAGAGTGATGGGCGAGGGTAATTGGGTGGAGGGAAGAAAGAGAGTGATTGGTTGGGGGCAGAAATGGAAAGAAAGAGAGAGTGCTGGGGGGCAGAGAGAGAGAAGGTGACAGGCATGGGGAGAGACTAGGCTTGCCAAGTCCCCCCGTGGGTCGGGAAAACCCGCGCCCCAGAGGCCTGTTCCCCGCCGCTGGCGGATCGGACTCCGGGGGGAACCCCACCCCCACGTGCATGTCACCAGGAAGTGACGTGACGCCGCCGGGCACTCTGGGGGCGGGGCCACGACCATCCAAGGGAAAACTCTATGGTTTTCCCTCGGACAGTCGTGGCCCCGCCCCCAGTGTGCCCGGCGGCATCACATCACTTCCTGGTGATGTGCATGCGGCGCGCATGCTCAAGCTTCAAGCCAGGAGTCCCCCACTGCGGCGATTTTTTCACTTGGCAACCCTAGGAGAGACAAAGAGAAGGGGTAATGGGAGGGAGAAAGAGCTAGAGGTAGAGAAGTAGGGAGAGAGGAGAGGAGAGGAAGCAAAGGGGGAATGGTGATGGACACTCCTGCAAGTTTCTTGCAGGTCCTTGCTTTTATAGTCTAATAGCAAAGCTGGCCAAATCTGAGGATACTTAAATCCAATTATGGGAGCAGTGAATTGACAAGACAGATCTTTCTACCAAGCTGAAAATTGCCCCAGGATGGTAGAAAGCTGGAATCTAAAAAATACTGAGGTTAAAAATACCTCAAATGATAAAAGGAGCACCTGTAAGCTTTAAGAAACAGAAGCCCTGGGGGGGGGGCGTTACTAGGCAACCACAGCATTCTAGGCTTTGTTCCTATCAGTAAACTCCAGGGGAAGGAGGCAGAACCGTTTCCAGGGCTGCTTTAGCATTTGAGAGATGATTTGATGGGGCCAGGCCCGGCAGCAGCCACTGGGTAACTTGATACCACCCGAACGGCATGATTCACCTCGGCCTGACTGCTTGCTGCTCTTCAACAGCAGCCACCCTGTGAAAGCCACTGTGGTAACAGAGTTAGAGCTTCAGAGGGTGTACTGGGAGACCCATGTCCAAATCAAAGTGCAAGCTCACTAGTTGATATTGTGCCAGTCACATACTTTCTGTGTGTAATCCTAGCCAACTGCCGTGGTTGCCTAGCAACAGCCACTGAGGGCCTCTGTTTATTACCTCACAGGGTTGTTGTGAGAATAAAAAAGGAGGAGAGGAGAAGAAGGTAAGATGATTTGGTCCCCACTGTGGAGGGATGGCTTTAGAAAGCCAGGCTCTTCATTAACTTTTCGAACCAAGTACAAGTGACTAGATATTGCAGTCCCCTCCATCTCAACTCCGATACACACTCCAGAGTACAATATCAATTTGACTTTTGTGTTAAAATTCAACATCGTTCTTTTAAACGTTTTCCCCTAGTTAATTGGCTAGTCTTTTTAAGTGAGATGAAGAGAGTCTGCTTCCACAGCAGAGGGCAGCTTTGCACTACGATATGCAGATTAGTTTTAGAGTGCTCTGTAGTCATTCGGATTCAGTAGATTATACTAGTATTTAATGCGTGTGCTGGTGTGAATTTCTTGCTTTGATCATTCAGGATTTTAAAGGCCGTGCTTAAAGTTACAGTTTATTTACCTTTAGACTGCCAATAAAAACACTGACTTTGGAGGGGGGAAAAATTCAAAATAAAAACTTGAACAGTGTGGTATAATGTGTCTTTAAGATCACTTGGAGTTTGTCATGTCCACCTGCAGGGCATTAGCAGAGTGGGTTTTTATCAGTCTACTTGTTTGTAACAGGAGCACGTTGTGTGTGCAGTGATGCCTGGCATAAGGTTTGTGGAATAAACATTGTACTTTTGGATTAAACCCTGCCTGGACAGTGGACATCACAAACAGTATTTACCCTGACCTGGATAGCCCAGGCAAGCCCAATCTTCTCAGATCTCGGAAGCTAAGTAGGGTCAACCCTGGCAAGTATTTGGATGGGAGACCTCCAAAGAATACCAGGGTCGGGAGGCAGAGGCAGGCTATCGAGCCATTTCTTTGAATGTCCTCCGTGCCCCAGTAGGAATCACCAGAGGTCTCCATGGCTCCCAGGCATGGGCACACACGCACACAAATGCAAAAATACCCCCCTCCCAAAACCCCCTTGAGCAGTAACTCTGAAATTTTAAATTTTTGCCATGTTTTGTAACACTGGCGTTTCCTGACATGCCGCCCTTAGTGGCTACAAGTCCAAGCAGCAGAGCCAAAGCAAGTCCCACATTGTTCAAAGAGATCTGAGCAACAGATATGCATGCTGATCACCCTAATCCCCTAGTCGTCTATTTAGATCTTTGGGGCTCAGCATGAAGAATGGCATAGCTGGACATAAGAAATTCTCCCATAATACGTCTCATCCGTTTCTTCTTTTCTGTGGTTTCCTAATGTGGTAATGAGGAATACGGAACTATTTATTTCGGCCTGTCTTCTCTCAAGGAAAATGTGGCAATCCTAATAGGCATTTTTCTTTCCTCTGTAGATCGCTCTTGCAAATGAACAGGTTCACAAACATAGCAGGCTACCTTTGTCGTCAAATTCTTCCCTGATATCAATGGGGGGGAAAGAAGAAAAGAAAACAACCCAGATAATGATGACTGAAGTGCCCTTATAATCAAGGCTGTCTGAAGGCCAAATGGAACCGGTGGTTGGAGTTCTGTGATTGAGCCTCTGGACATGCCATTTAGCCTTGATCAGCAGTCACGGTGAGGGCAGATCTGGCCTGAAGCTGAGATGCCAGTGAAAGGAGACTTTAACTGGTGATGCCAATCTATGCTTTTGTGATCTTGCAGCTAGACTACTGTAACACATGCTGTATTGGGCTGCCCTTGAAGACAATCTGGAAACTACAACTGGTTCAGAAACTATTCCAAGAGACTGGCTGATGAGAACATCTCAAAACAG